ACGAGAGATTCAGCTGGGTTCCAGGTGAGTCTCTCGAAAGAACCAAATTGGTTTGCAAATGGGTGTATATTCGCTATACGTTTGTAGTTCTTCAGGTTGATCACGAATGTTGGAAACAACTTTTAAATAGGTCGAGTCAGTTCAACGAAGGTTTAATATGCCCCGGGGAGAGACATAGTTTTAAGTTTGCAATGGATTTGACAAGGGAACCGATTTAATGCTAACGGAAATGTTTTCGTAATAAAGAGGAGCACTAATGGAGGGTGTCTGGATAGGCAGACGTTTAAAGTAATCTGGCACTAAAGATGACTTTCGCCAGATATCGGGACATGATAAATGGTGGTTCCGGTCAGTAAAGCTAAAGTGAAAACGACTAAAGGAATACTTCTGCTTCTGAAGTGTGAACAAGCCTCGATCTGTTCATCTATACTATCGATTCCCTATTTTAAGAGATGAATGGAACAAGCACTTCATTCCGCTAGACCTTCGTTCACTGGGCTAGGCTTCAACTGACCGAGACGCTATCCGAGTGCCAGCATTCCGTCGAATGTGTCACAGTTGTTTTACATGCGGAACCGATTGAAACTGGACTGGAGGATAAAGCCTCACCCATAACTCTAACCAGTTTCCGAATAACTACGATGTTTTTGGTTTTTCTACCCAGTTTGTGACCACCACTTGAGTTTATCTAGGTGAGGACAATGTATCAGTTTGAACAACTGCTGCTGCCCGTCATAAGGCTTCACTGCTAATTCTTAATCGTCGTATGCGGGGGTGTCGAGTTTTCGGTGTGTGCACTTCACCTGAAACAGACTATTCTATTGTGCACCTGAAAAAGTAACCCTGGTGTAATAAAAAAATTTCATTAGCCCAGTAAAGGGGCATGCGATAAGGTCACCATTTGTCATGCCATCCTGGAGAAAACACTCACACCAATCAAACGCTTTAACGGATGCCACGTCTTGTAAATGAAGCCGATCTATCCTGATAAGCTGAGGAGTAATGTACAGTTGTCTCGTCCTTATTTGGAAGCATGAGCAAAGTGCATCGGACGATAATCCTGGGAGTCTTTAACCCACGACGTTCTGGCTTGTGGTTTGGACACTTAACCTTCGGCCACGAGCGGCTGAGCAGTAGTGTGACTAAGTCGCACCTAGGCAGGATATAGCTCTCCGCCACCTGTTGTTGAAAATGTAACTTTCGCCATCCTAGCCTACCCTGATAAGATTGGTTTATATAGTCAACACACAGTGAAGGGCAACTGGCCGGGATAAGAAATAGCATTTTTATGTGGTTTCGATCTAAGTGGACACGAGTGTATCATCAATTGAGTGTAAAGCAACCACGTCACAGGTTTCCCCATGCAAAATAGCCCCTTCCCCATATTGATGAACAGAAGGTCTCTCCACAAAAATACAGGATTACTGGATGACTTGGGGCAATAGCGATGATTGTCTGATCATGAAATCCTGTCACGTGACACATGAACGTGGGAGTTCTGTCTGCTTGCGACATGTGGGAAGTTGCACTGCGCCATCGACGGTGATACTTTGTCAGGGGGCTTCGACCCGCATTCGATTCGAAACGGCGGAAGTCGTAGTCGGCGAAGCAGAGCAAACGAACCACGCTGTCCAAGGAATGATAAGAACAGAACCAGTGAATGTACCAAAACTGTCCTGTAAAGAGAAGCCAAGGCCAACAGAGCGTGTGTCCAAATCACATTGTTGCACAATCCCTTAGTTTTTGTTTTGGAAATGAGTAAGTTCCTGTGAATTTGTCTCGTTCACGTAGAACACTTCGTTGTTTTCAAACGCTTAAATATGACAACAGAATCGACAGTCACTCGGTATAGTACGGACGGATATTTGAGGTGAGATGTTACGGAATAAACGGTCTCCTTTTAAAATCAGTGCACATAACCATTCGGGTATTTCTTTTTTCTACGTTCGCAGGCTTTGGCTGTTTTCGTGTTTTTTTTAAACATGCGTTCAGTGAAAAAAAGTAGTCACAATCATCGATAAATGTCATATTTCAGTTTTTTATTCCTAAAGGTAAAGTCTATCGTTTTGCGCTTGCTTGGCAGGGAGGGTGGGGGTGGGGGGTAAGTTTAGAGCTTTTGGGAACAGTTTGCCTGAAAAGTAGACTATTCATCGAACAGCAGAAAAAAATTAAAAATCGGTACTGAAAAGTTATGTGTAAAGTCTATCGTTTTGCGCTTGTTTGGCAGGGAGGGTGGGGGTGGGGGGTAAGTTTAGAGCTTTTGGGAACAGTTTGCCTGAAAAGTAGACTATTCATCGAACAGCAGAAAAAAATTAAAAATCGGTAAAAGAAAGTTATGTGGCTGTAAGGATAAAACACGAACGGGACCGAGTTACCGATGTTTTCTCTTCTTGCGCCAACACCAAAAGCACCAACAAAAGGTAGCGTTTCTTGAACACCGCCTTGGTGTTAACTGTCAAATTTTGGCACCGAACCGTGTGGCTAGGACGGCAACAGAAAGTTGGCATGAGGGGTGGAGGAATGCACAGAACTTTATGTACAAAGATTTTTTATATTTGGAGACTTCAAGCTTGACAGCGCATCGAGTAATGTCACATCCCAACGGGAAAACAAGCTGCAGTTTTTCTGTATTCGATCTCAAGCGACCTTGTTGAGAAAACAATGCCCACACTTTATAAAGCTGGCGACTACATGTTTCCAGGGGCCGATACTATACGGCCTCAGGTGGAGAATTACAAGTGGGCAGCGTAAACAGAGCAGACATGGTAACTTGATTTGGAATGGCTGTTTTGCACCAACCGCCCAGTACCACTACAGAGCACAGTTCAGAAAGACACATTCCTTGATGTGACAGGGTAGAAGCTGACCCTCGTTGAACAGATCACATGAGGTGCCGTGTCTAGAATCAGCCTATGAGAGTCCAGTCGATCCTGACCTCAGCGATCGATGCGCGAGTATATTTAAACTATACACAAAAAAACTTACGTAGAATGTCCTGATGAGAGACCTGAATATTACAACTCCTATCTAGAGGTCGATTTGGATCCATTTCCGAATTCGCTTCATTACGCCGGCCAGCACCCGGTGTCACAGATGTAACAGCGTTTTTTGGCCAGTAACTACAGAAAACATCCACCACTTTAAGCAACCTGACTATACCCTAATGAAATCGAATGTTTCTAAAATGCATGCGAACTCGACCGAACGGGTCACGAAAGCTCCGCGCGCAACAGAGGCTTTCCATACAGTTCCAGTTAGTTCGCACCATACAGTATCTCGAGAGAAATTAGGCTAGTTATTTCCTTTCCCATGTACCCCATCACCATCAATTTCAAGTTCTCTAACGAGACACGTTCTAGTGTCCTACCTTCTTACCGGGCGGTTTAGAGCTGCTGAATTCCTGCCTCAATTTTTCAACTTTCATATTCCAGCTGACGTGCGTTTTGCAGACGAAGTCAAAACGAGGTCAGTGCCGCTAATTCGTACGCTTGTATTCAACGCAAGGTTTTTGGTAGAATGCTGCCAACCACCCCCCTCAGAAAGTGACCCTTAAGAGATCATGCTTCCCAAAAGGGAGCAAAGGGCGAGCTCAGTCAGTGTTGAGTACGTCAACGCCAGAATTTGTGAGTGAGTTCCGAAACAAGCCATGGAGAATGACAATTACGGGATCTCTATTTGTGAAAGAAAACAGCGCGCACTGCTGCATATAGAAACAGAGCAGGACCTCAATAAAAAATGAGATGGCTGAGTAAATTTCAGAAGCATTTTGCCAAGTTTCTGAACCACATGGTAGCTTAATTGTTGGCACAGCTTCGGAAACTGTAAGTTGGGTAGGGGTAAGGAACAAAAAGTGTTTACAATCTTGCTGAAGCGCACTTTCTCTTTCCAGCTATCTCACAAACGGCCTCCGTCTCAAAAGTAATATTTGTACGGGAATAAAGGAACCAAAGGACCGAATAATGGAAACGACAGAGTTCAATACTTCAAGTGAAAAGTTATCTCTCTTGGCAGTCAAGAAAAGTAAACAACAAAGATGTTTCCAAAACCTCAGCACAGATTAAACTGGAATTCCGTACGAAAAAAACGGAAGCACATGGATGACTCGGAGCTTGATTCAACTGACCAGGCAATGAGATGACAAAGCAGGAAGACTGCTATTTCGTTGACACTGACTGTCACATTTCCAGAAAAAAGCCGAGTCAAGTTAAATCTCCTAGTATCACATCCAGAGTGTAGTACTGAACGCGCAAACTATCCATTTTATCCAACTGACTAGCGGGAGGCACGCGTTTCGAATACAATGAAGAACGTTTCCATTTGAACGAGAGTGTGCAAAATGGACTGTCAGGATACATATATTTCTTATACCGAGGTAATCTTGTTGAACACATTCCTTGTCCAAATCAACACCGGTCGCACCTTGGTTACAATAACTGTTCCCACAATATGCCCTGATAAATTTCTATATGATGGATGAGTTGCATTGAAAGCTTGGAGAGCAGTCACTCAGTCGAACAGGAACACGAAGACCAGGGGGCACCAGAATTGACCCGGATTACTGACGCCAAATACGATTGATATTTAGCCATCTATTCTGTCGCTGGATATCATTCCTGACTAGACGTTGCCAGAATTGACCCGGATTACTGACGCCAAATACGATTGATATTTAGCCATCTATTCTGTCGCTGGATATCACTCCTGAGCTAGACGTTGCCCAAGGAAACAATCGTAATGCAAAAAATACTGGTTTCATTTTTCAGTCATATGTTATTTTTTACTACTGAATTTTGTTTGTAAATCAATAAAACAGCTCCTGCTCCAGCTCTTCCACTGCTATCAAGTAAAGCGAG